TAAGTCATTGGAGTCGCCAATTGCACCAATTGTCATCTTTGCCACTAATCGCGGTCGTTGTGTTATACGGTAAGTAAACATTTAATTTTTTTGGAATTATATTGCTTATCTTGTTTCTTTATTTTCTTTTTTATAGCGGCACCAATGACATTGTCTCACCACATGGCATACCCTTGGATTTGCTCGATCGTTTGCTAATCATACGCACCTTACCATACAGTTCCAGTGAAATGGAACAAATCATTAAATTACGTGCCCAAACCGAGGGTCTACAACTGGAAGAGCCAGCCTTTACTCGTCTCAGTGAAATTGGTAGCAAATCAACATTACGTTATGCTGTGCAGCTGTTAACCCCAGCCCATCAAATGGCCAAAGTTAATGGTCGTACACAAATCACCAAGGAAGATATTGATGATGTTCACGCTTTGTTCTTGGATGCTAAACGTTCATCGAAACATCTCTCAGAGAAAAATAATAAATTTATGATGTAAAACTAGAATTGACATAAAACCTCAATGACATAATTTTACTATGTTCTTTATTAATATATAATACAAATAATTAGATTTAGAAATAAGAATGTGAAGATTTTTGTTATGTGGGAATCATGGGTGGGAGGTGAAAGAAAAATCAAGAAGGTTACATAGGAAATTTATGTAAATGTCTAGGCTATAGAAGGAAAAGAAGTTGTTATTTCAAAGCATTCACTGCACCGGCACTGGGCAACAAGGAAACTTGACACGTTCTATTGTTTTCAGAATGCATTCAACTTAAGAAGTATACCAAGTTAAAGTGGCCGAATTAACACCAGCCATTACCGCCCTATGGGCGGTTATGACAAAAATATAAGTAATGAAATCGGCTTGGGAAGGGAAAAAATAATTGAAATATTTTAGATTATAAAAGGAAAATATTTTTTTTCAAAATCATTTTTGTACCCTTCGCAAGGATATTACAGTTTTGTGTGGCCCTAAGAGTTTGTAACGCTCCTAAATATTTTTGTATACCAAACATCATATATCGACTAGCTGAGTCGATCTAGACATGTGTGCCCATCTATCCGTCATAATTTGTAACAGGCTACAGGTTATAGTTATGGACCAAACGTTGTCTTTAGCTCCGGTTCTGACCTAGGGAGATCAACTGGACCAAAAACTTTATTCGTATCTGTTTTTCTGGTCGCTCTAGATACCAAAATTATCTTCCGAACGAACACCACGCAATTTTACATGGGTAAGGGAATGGAGACAAAGAATAAGTAGGATTGCTTAGATGAAGATCGGTCAATGTTGCAGGCCCTCATAACTGCCTAAGTCCGTCCCTGCACGCAAAAAATTGCGTGAAAAAACCTTTACGTGAGACCTTTTTGCCTCCATGGCGGTCTCCAAACCATGCTTATTAACCCTAACTCCCAAATGGGCGAAATGATGGGGGAGCTAGGGAAGCTAAAAATGTTAAATAAAAACTCCAGGACACTGAAATTGGGATAGCAGGGTTGGGACTACACCCTAGGGAAAAGATCGACTATGTTAGCCGGAGTCAGAATGTCGCTATACGTTCCAAAGACAGAGGCACACGTAACATCAATATCTAGCTGTTAAAATTGTCCCAGACTTTTATTTGATACTCCGGAAGGACCTAGACCGGAGAAGTTGTTGTATATCCTCGGATGATCGATGTATACTTAAATATGTACAGGTATACGTATTCTGATAATATTATGAAAAGAAGCGCTAATGGATGGAAAATTTTGCATTAGGCCTCGGTTATGATCAAGGTCGATAAGGATCTGATGATATTCTAAAATGAAATGGACCGAAAAATATATTTTTGTCTCTGTTTCTAATCGCTCTAGAGAAAACTATTATAAGCCAAACATCGCGACAGTTCCACTGGGAGGGTGGCCGGACCAACTTTTCGATAGTCAATATATAGCTGGTCAAATTGTGCCAAGACTGTTATGGGTAATATAATAATTCGGAAAAAATGCCAGGGTAAGGGAAAGGATCCGTTGAACCCTTATCAGTCAAGCGGGTGCCAATATCACGAAATATTTCCCATATTACCCAATGGTAGTTGTGTGGGGTATCATATAGTCGGCCTCGTCTTTCTATACTGCTATGCTGTGTTATTTTATTCAAATATCATTTTGATCAAATTTTCCTAACCTCCTCTAGACAGTATAGCAATCAATATACACTGGCGATTCCAAGATAGAAAATTATAATATCGCGATCGTCTGCTGTCAAGCACTATTCATCAATATGAGCCACAGTCTATTGATATACCGATCCACAAGTCTGTTAGAACACACCTAACTGCTACAAGTGCCGAGTGTTTATGGTGTAAGGTAAATTCGGGCGGAAAATGCGTCTAAATTTTTAAATTTAGCAATATCTGGTTGGGCGTTATCGTCGGAAACCCTGAGGCACGTCAGAAGAGATCTTCATGACCTAGAAAAAGAGGTCGTAAATTACAACCGTGAATATTGTCACCCCTGTCAAGTCCTAATGGACATGGAGACATGTATTTCAGGATCAATTAAATTGTGGACTCTGGAAGACACGCGCATACATTGTTACTACTCCAAAAGATTTTTGAAATTGAAAATGGGATATATCGGTCCTTATCTCGGTATAGATCCGGTCTCAAAGTATTCGGTATTTTGACACATTTTTAAACTGAATCGGCTGTAATTTTGCATTTTGTGTCCTAATTGGATTTCGAAATCTTATTCCAAAAATTAGATTCCTATTGGGTGTCAAATTCTCCTACCAAAAATGGTCAATCCCAAGGCAGAAGGTTCTAGGAAGCCGGATTGGCCCGATACTTCTAGGCCACCGGCTTCCACCCTATTCATATATGAATTTATTCAATTACGTTCAGGTTGGTGTAGTCGTCTCAGTTCGTATTGGCCACTGATTGATGATCACGTGCAGAATAGCTGAATTTCCTAACTCGGAGACAAGTCCAGAGCCAGACTGAATCGAACAGGAAGAATAATATATGGTATGTTCCCGTACCACAAGAATCTACTGCATTTAACTACGATAAAAAAACTAGTAGATTCTTGCAGTACGAGAACAGAACAGATTTTGTAAGAAATTCACAATCGCATCGCAGGCTTATAAAAATCAAGATCGATTTTAAATACCCGCCTTATGGTGAGGATATATAAAGCTGTCCCCGGCTGAACTTAACTACTTGTTTGCGGATGATTTCCTTTACTCCCGAATAAGCCGGCCCAAAATGAGACGGTGCCATTATAAGTCCCAATTTAGATTAGGCGAGTTTACTTGCAGCAAGTCCTTGTTTGTAGGAGAGAGGGGTAAGGGGAACAGAAATGGAAAAAAAAATTGCTCGTACCGGCAATTGTCTGGCAATTCGTTTTGTGTATTTTGTTTGTAGTGCCAGTTTCCACAAAAATAAAAAATCACAAAATGTCAAAAAAAAATTTTTTTGAAACCGACTTGCCTTGTATAGACGCCTAAAGCTAGTTCAAAAGAGAACGATAATAATTGTCGCAAGTGAACTCGCCTAATCTAAATCAGGACTAAAAATGATTTTGCAGTTGTTTTTACCTGGTATCGATTCCTGTGAATCTCTTTGTGTTTCATTGTGGGTGAATTTATTCGAATTATCCAAAGCTTACCTTTGGTGTCTGCCTGATCCCACAATATTTATGAATATGCATCGACATTTATTGCTGTATTCGGAGGCATGCTAGGTGCTAAATACAATTGAAAATTAAACTTTTTAAAAACCCATAAGAATACACCATTTGTTAGCAATAAAATTAATTAAATTATTAATTTCCAATTAGAAAAAATCTTACTAAACCGTTAAAATATCTATCAGCTGTTTTAAGGTTAACCATTATTTGATTTGATCGATTTGTGTTATCACTTCAGTGTGAATGAAAAAAGAACAATGTTTCAGTAAGTAGAAATAAATAATAATATAACTGTTTTTATTGACTTTAATAGAATATTATAAATAATAAAAAAATAATACAATAATTTATTTGTAATTCTTTTATTGATTTATATATCAATAATTAATTTATTTATTAAAACAATAATCGATATCTTTGACCAACCGGCATCCCTAATCGACAATTCTCGCCATGTCTCTCTTTCTCAACAATACGCTCCATAAGCGGTGTCCATCCATCACACTTCATTCGTAAATTTTACTTTTCACTTTGAATTTCTTCTTTATCGAACATTTTTTTCTCCCATATTTGTGCAGCAGCTATGGAACGTTTTTAATTTAGAGCCGACTGACTTGTGTCACTCTGACACTAGTTCTTATAACATAACATTTTCTCATTCGAATCGAATAAGACGCAGCACCACCAACCAATCACGCAGAAACATTTCTTAATTAAAAAATACTTAATTAAACTAAATAACAAAGTGCAAGACAAACAAAAAAAAATATAAATTACAACAAGAAAACCGACATCGTATAATAATATTAAGTGAAAAAACAAACGAATAGAAATTATTAAAACAAAATAAGAAGCAATCAATTTAAACGAAATTTATTAGGTGGTGTTTGTGTGTGAGTGCGTGAGTAGTGATTAATAAAAATATATAGTGGAGATCTCCTTTTTAAAAAGCCATAAAATTAAAAGAAAAGAAGGCTAATTGAAATTTTTGTGGTATATATTGCAAAAAAAGATTGAGCCAATCGATTGTGGAATAATGGCTGGTTTAATAAAATGATGATAAATGATGGAAGTGTGCTGCTGCAAGCAGTCAAAAGCAAGAGGATTGTGTAATTTTGCCAAGAATTTTTGACAAAAAAAGAAAAATACGAAAAGATTTTTTATTGTTTGTGGCGTTGAGTGAGTAGAGTAGGTGGAACAGCAGCAGCGAGCGAAAGCGTTAGGCGTAACAACAAAAACAATCGTTGGCCGCAGCAGCAGCAGGGTGGAGGAGACCATCAAAAGTCAGCCAATAAACAAAAACAACAACAAAGGCAGGAGGCATTGCTGGTGACGACAACTACGCCGAAAAGTGAGTATTATTGCCCAAAAAAAAAAACAACAACAACAAAATAATTTTACGAATGACAAAAAAAGAGTGACACCGCGCCCGCCTTTGTCAAAAAAATGAAATACCAAAACGAAAATGAATTAAAGAGCATTATAAAATTCGTGTTGATTTTCTTTTTTTGTTGGTGACTGCCGGCGCCGCTGAACCCACCCACACACAAAATTGGGTGGGATTAATAATCATGAAAGAGCAGAGTGGGGGTTTTGGCAATTTTAATGAGTTTTTTTTTTTTAAAGAATTAATAGAAATATTTTAATAAAGGTAAAGTTGAAATAAAGTAAAATCAATTATTTTTTTCTTCCTCTTGTTATATACATTAGACTTTCTATAGTTTTTGTTGCTTTTCCATTTAACTAAAGTGCCTTTTGTTATGTTTTGAGAGTATTGATGAATGACATTGTAATCACAGTTAGGAGTGCTGTCAACTCTCATTGCGCCATTGATGAACATAATGAGCCCGCCAGAGCACATATGGGTTATTCATTTGACAGTTCATTTGTAAAGTAAGAAGGGTTTCTGTAAAATAAAATAGGATTTTATTAAAGGTATAATTATAAAATATTAAAAAATAATGATATTTTTAATAATCTATTTCTCTAGTTATTCACATTAGACATTTTCAACAACCTTTCATTGTTGTTGCTCTTCCATTTAACTACAGTGCTTAATGCTTTTTTGAAGAGCATGAATGACATTGCAATCACAGTTAGGAGTGCTGTCAACTCTCATTGCGCCATTATTAATAAACATGTTTGAGCATAGTTGGGTTAATCATTTGGCAATATCATTGTAAAGGAAAGACGTTTTCTTTAGAAGAAAATAATTAAGGATCAGAATTTTTAAAAGGCAAATTATAAAATATTATAAAAAAAAATATGTTTTTATAATTTTCTCTACCTCTCCTTAGTTTTGCAATTGCATACAATTTGGTGTTTGCCTTTCCCCATTTAATTTAAAGTGTGTTGAGTGTATTCATTGGATTGTTATGAAGTGCTGCCTTTCATTCCATAATAAGCCACTTGCCTGTGAACTTCCTTCATCTAGATGATGGATTGCAGGTACTGCTAATGCTATGCTTGTTCTTTATGCACCTTCAACTTCATGCTAAACAGCCAGCCATCCATCCATCCAGCCAATCCAACCAGTCAGCAACGATTATAACGAGTAGGCAAGGCAGCCAGCCAGCCAACCAGTCAGCATCACCAAGGTGAATACTAAATTTTTTTGCGTCCTTGTGACCTAAAACAGCTGGGCACACAAACAAAACCTTGACGATTTCTATTCGTTATGTAGGTCAACATACATTCGTACGCCTTTGAAATAAATCCTGTGTTTATGTTGATGTGTGGTGGTGATGATGAGGTTGCTGCTGGTAGTTATGGTGGTCGTCGTACTTGTCGTCAAATGACATTTATATTTCTGGAACATTAACAAAAGGATGTATAAATGTCTCCGGTATTTGATTGGAGGGATGGATCGATGGTTGGTTGGTGTCGATATACCAATATCGATTATGTTTTAATATGCACAATTTGTTGTACATCCGTTTAGAATGGTTTGTATTTCATAATCCAAATGCATGCAACCAGATATGATGGAAGGCAGAGGAACTTACCACAGCTATGTGGATGTTGTATTGCAATCTTTGTTGTTGTTATGATAGGTACTAGCATTGAAAAAGTATTTTTTACCACAATTCTGTATATGATATTATTGATTTTTAGTATTATTTGTTGTTATTGCTTGGCTTTAAACAAGAAATCGGGTTAACATTTTAATCAATGTCCTTCATTTCATTTTTTTTTTGTTAAAGCAAGCAACATAGTTATTTCTCGTTTTTTTTATTATATTTTCATTCATTCTACTTCTACTCCTGCTCTTTGTTAACAGCTCGTTTTTTTTTTTTTGCTTTGACCCACAAGTAGTTCTATGTGAAAAAATTCAAAAGAGCCTTTTGAAACATAAATTATTCTAATAGAAAAAAATAATTTTTTTTCTTTTTCTTGTATGAACTTTGCCACTTAACATTGGCGTGTCTTTTTTTCATGTTTTTTATGGACTTCTATGACAACGTGATTTCTTGGTGTAAATGGAAAAATAATTGGTTACAAAATGCGGCAACGTCTTGCATTACTTGGAGACTTATTCGTTCATTTTGTTTGCTTCTTTCGAATATAATTGGTACTTAGTGTCCTGATTATATATGAGTGTCAAGTATTTTTGGTCTATTGGATAAATTCCAACTATGTTGACACTTTCTCTTAAGTGGTTGTACAGGATATAATAAATTAAATAAATAAATTACTATTAGGAAAATTGTAGGAATTGTATGGGTTTTAAATCTGTTATTGAGGACAATATTCTATGATGTCTGAGAGGCCGTTTTATGTAGACATTTCTTTCTTTTCTTTTTAGTTTTTGTTTATATGTCAGTATGCCTTGATGGCTGAAGCGAACGATAATTCACGAAAGGAATTTGATATAAATTTTATTTATTGTAGCATACCATTCAAACTTAAATCGAATATGAGGATATATATCTGCAGATAACACCGACCACTAATGATTTCTAAACTTCGTATAGTGAAACAGAGAGTTCCCCAGGGATGGGTCATATCTCCGAAATTATTTCACCTCTACCTTTCTGAAATTCCATAACCACGGGACGGCATAGAAACTGTAATGTACGCGGATGATTGTACGATTAGGGTGTAGGGTCCCGTAATTGATGACATTTGTGAGAGACTAAACTTCTTCCACATAGCTGATCTTGTAAATTTCTTCCTTCTGACAAATATGAAAATATTCGCCAACAAACTGTTCACCAAATAAACGTCTGAAATGAAGCTGCCGCTGAGCTGATTCCGACCACAAATTACTCCCAGATACTGGGTATAACGTTCGACAGGTGATTCCAATCACAAACTACCACAAGATACTGGGTGTAATGTTCGACAGTCTTTTCAAGTCGTCTGTGCAAGCCACTGCTTTATGCGATAAATTGAAAGTAGGAAGAAGGCTTCAACTGGCAGCACTTGGGGCGCTGATTAAGAAATCTTCTTGACCTCTTATAAAGCAATAGTCCGGTCAGTGGTAAGCTATGCGGCACCAGTGTTGTTTGGAAATGTAAATGATACGCAGTGGATGAATATGTAGACCTGCCAGAATAATCTGCCATGAAAGCAGGGCGTCTCCTCTTGACTCTAGTGGACCATCTTCATGAGAAGACTAAAACCTTACCCGTCCATCGACATAACCATATGATATGAAAAATGAAATGAAACGACAAAAATAAAGCTCCCGCTCGATGGAGACCTGATTTTATGCGATAAGATGGAGGCGCTGACAAAGAAAACCTGTTGACCTCTTATTAAGCAATAGGACGGTCAGTGATAAGCTTTGAGGCACCAGTGCGGTGTGCGAATATAACTGATACTCAGACCTGCCAGAATGCTGGCCTGAGAACTGCAACGCCGTGTACAGTGGACCATTTTCATTTTACACGGTCATCGACTAAATCTATGTTATGTTCTCGATGCAGTACGTGTATGTGTTTGTATTATCATTGGGAACACATTTGTTATAGCCTTCTGAGCAAAAATCACCCACCCAGATATGTCGTTAAAGATCTTCGTAATCTATAGAGACAGAGATAGGTCCAAAGGTACAAACGTAGATCAACATGGCTATCAAGCAGGTCTGAATTACATTCACACAGATGATGCAGTCGCTCAGGCAGTAGAACAATATCGTGGGAATACCATAATTGAGGACCATCCCACCACCCATCGGAGCAGAAGAGAAACAGCTGCCCGGACAAACACGAGTAGTCTTTGATCATGATTGGTTTAGATCAGGATGGTGCAACCGCCTCAATTTCTATTGGGCACAATTTGACGGCTCGATACCTTACAATTGTCCTGCATGTGGACTAGGATCACATAACATGTTGCACCTCTTCAACTGCCCAGCTAAGATTTACCTATCACCAAATTCCCTACGGACACAACCCATTCATGTTACAACATGTTTATACCCTCAGCAATATGGCTAATGAGGGTATATACACTTTGATACGGTGAAAAAGTGCCTCATGGAAGGGAATAATCGATGTCATCCAAACTTTGCACATCTTAATATTTCTTCCAAACTTAGTTTAAATTCGAAGATGGGGAATATCGCTTCATTCCTTCTAGTACTTCCCCCACAATATGATCAAAATTGTGTTAAAAATTGATTTTATAATAACATGCAAAAGGACTATCCGATTTTAACCCATTATCATTATCAAACCTAGATCAATGTAGGAAGATGGGACCCATTGATCCACTCCTTCTGGTACCTCCCCAACAGACGGTCAATATTTTCAACATTTATAAATCCAATATAAGGCTTATGGAATGTCCGATTTGAATACAAAAGGACTATCCGATTTTAACGAAACTTTGCAGAACATATTATCTTTACTTAGCCTAGATCAAGTTTGAAGATTGGAGTCATTGCTCTACTTCTTCTGGTACCTCCCCCCACAAATAGTGAAAAAATGTTGCACAACCTATTATCTTTACCAAGCCAAAATCAAGTCCGAAGATGGGACCCGTCTGCCCTTTCATCTGGTGCCACCTACAAAAAGGGTCAATATTATATATTTGATCAAAATAAAATCCAAAACATCTTCAATTAAACATATACCTTATATAAAATGGATAATAAATAAAACCTGTGTATAGCTCCGAAGACCTCCTATCTTTGTTACCTCCCTTTTAGAGGCTATGAAATAAATGCCTCTAATGATATTTTAATGCATTACCAATTTCTGGTCCAAATCGTTGACCTTTATTCAAATGCATTTCAGTTTGCTTTCATTACTCCTCGTTTACTTTAGCTACCCCTACTGTTCTTTAAAAATTATTATTCTATTTCCGAATTGAATTCCATAACTCTAACTCAAAAAGTGAAAT